AGGGTTCCACTTTCTCCACATCCTCAGCAACTCTTGTTCTTTTCTGGCTTTGTGGGTTTTTGTTGCTACAGCCGTCCTAGTGCATGTGAGGTGGTATCTCACTGGGCATACTGCATGTTTTGTGTTTGTTTTAACACAACTGTAGCATATTTCTTATATTCTTCTCACTCACCAACGTATCGTGGAGAACAAGTTAGTTTGTACCGAACTTCTTTTTTCCTGTTTTGATGGTAATTTACTGCATGAATATACCAACCTTTACTGAACCAGTTCCCTATTGGTGGGCTTTTTTCCAGTCCTTTGCTATTACAAACAGTGTTGCAACAACCACCTCTTCATACTTCATTCTCTGCATGGGGAAGTTTGTCTGTGAGGGTAATTCCTGAACGTGGAATTCTGGGCTAAAGGGCATGTGTATATTTTTATTTTTTTATAGGTATTACCAAATTGACTTCCATACAGAGTGGACCAATTTATACTCACCAGCCATGTGGGGACATGTCAGTTTTTTAAATGAACACTGGATAATAAGATAAAGTTTGTGACCCTATTGTGTTTTTAGTATGGTATCCCCATGTGGGCAGACCTGAGAGTCACTCTACTTGGGGGCTTTGGGCAAAGGACTGCTCAGAAAAGACTTTTGCTTGGTTAGCAGTTCCCAAGGAGGAGGCAGAACCTGAAAAGGGCTCATCTTGGGGCTCTCATCTACCTTTCCTTCATGGAAGAATGGGAACTCACTGAGATGCTGCACAAGATCATCACTTACTCATTTATTCCTTTAATCAACAAATAAGTATTGAAAGCCTACTATGTGTTGCTAGGTCTCAGGGATGAAACGAAAACCAGGCCAGACCTTTCACTGATGTTGTCAGGCTTTCAAAGGGAAGCAGGCATTAATACAACATTAATACAACTAAGAGTAACATGATACACTGGGAGACAGGTATACCAGGCCATTGGAGCCTGGGACAAGGGTCTGAGGGTCAGCAAAGGGGGCCCAGAGGGAACATGTTTGAACTGACACAGGAAGGACGAGTAAAAGATTGGGTGAGGGAAAGTCTCTTTTTCCTTTGGTGGAGAAAGCATGGGGAAAAAAAAAAAAAAGAAGAAGAGAGGTAATAATTCCCACTTCATAGCATTGTTACAAGAATTAAGTTAACTAATACACGTAATACATTTAGCAAAATGCTTGGCATATGTCAGTTACTTGGTGATTGTTTTGTTTCCACTGTTTGCTATAATCTTGATGAATGTTTCCACTCTGGCTCCCTAAGCAAAGCATTTCCATCCTAGTCATGTTCTTCCTTTGTATTTCTCCATCACTGTTCTCTCTCTGACTCCATTTCTGGGTTCCCAAGCATGGCAGTACATTGATCACAGTCCACCTTAGGAATCAAGCAGATGAATAACTACCACTTATTTTGCCCTTAATATATACTAAGCACTTTACACCCATTAATTAATCTTCATAACAATCTTAATAGGTAAACACTATTATTACTTCCATTTTATGGATAAAGAAATGGAGGCAAGCAAAGCCCAACGCTAGCAAATTGCAGAGCAAAATTCAAACTCAAGTCTGACTAACTCCCACTACCCTCCACCACCCACCATGTGTTGTTAGTTATCTTTTTTAGGTCTTGTTTACCCAACCAGGTGACAAGCTTATTTAGGACAAGAATCTCATTTTATATTTTTTAGTAAAATAATAGCTACTACTAATTGAGCAGCTATTATGTGACACACTCCTACACATGCATTATTTCTTCTCTTTTTTGAGTCGGAGTCTAACTCTGTCACCCAGGCTGGAGTGCAGTGGTGCACACTCACAGCCACCGCAGCCACAACCTGCTAGACTCAGGTGATCCTTCCCCCTTAGCCTTCCAAGTAGTTGGAATTACAGGTGTGTGCCACCACACACAGTTACTTTTTTTTTATTTATTGTAGAGACAAGGTCTCGCCAAGTTACCCAGGCTTGTCTTGAACTTCTGGGCTCAGGCAATCCTCTCACCTCCGCCTCCCAAAGTGCTGGGAAGACAGGCATGAGTCACCACACCTGGTCACATTATTTCTAATCCTCACAAGAACACTCTGTTTTGTATATGATTTCCCCAATTTTATAGATAAGGAAACTAAGGCTCAAAGGGGTTAATTAACTTGGCTGAGGTGGTGGAGACGGGACAAGATCCTGATATATGTGGGCCCTACTAGAGATGATGGTCAGTAATATTTGAGGCTGACAGATGGGAAAGCACAGGGCTGCACTCACCCAAACCCTGATCTCCATCTAGCAAGACATCTAGACAATGTCAGTGAATATAGAGGAGAAAGAATTGTTGGAGAGGTGCGGATCTCTTCTTCGGCTGTGTGAAAGTATCAATTCAAAGTTCACAGTAAGTAGAGCCTCCAGAGTTATTGTGGAATTCCTGCATTCATTCACTAAGCACGGGCTCCTAATGAGTGGAATCCCTCCTTAGGAGGCAATGTTAACACTTACGGAATGTTTTCTACGTGCCAGGAACAGTTCTAAGAGCTGTATGTGGATTAATTCATTTCATATCCAGGTAAGGGCTGTTATGATCCCATATAACAGCTGAGACATCGAATTACAAGAAGGCGAAAAGATTCGCCCAAGGCCCCCCCGTCTGGCAAGTGGTGACATTTGGGACACCTGGCAATGTGATATCCTATCTTGACACCTACTTAACAACAGTATGAGACACGGGTCACAGCGTCAAGCACAAAAAGTACAGTAGTGGAGACACTGGTAGAATGAAAAACCCCAAGTGCTGCGGGCTGAGCGGGAAAGCTGTTTTCCAAACGTCAGCGTGCCTGCCACTACGCCTCCAGCCCCAACCTTCCACTTTCCTGGCTTCCCTATCCCCTCCTTCCCGACAGATCGCGGACAGCCAGCCAGGAAAGTGAGGGAAAGGTCGCAGTGCGGCTTTGGCTCCTCCCACCCCGTCGGTTGTCCTTTTTGCTAAGCCCGCGGAGCTCCCAAAGCTGCGGGAACGTCCGGGCGCTCTCCCGTCCAGCCCGGGCACTGGCCCCAACGCGCCCAGTCCTCAAGGCACCTGGCAGCCTTCCCTTCCCAGGGGGCCGCCTCCTTCCGTGACCCTCCGGGGCTCCATTTTCTGAGACCTCACCTGGCTCTCAAGACAGAGCGTCTGTAGTGTCCTGGTGGGGCGGGGGGTGGTGCTTGGAGAGGCGTCCCCGCCCCCACGTCGGGGCTTTCGGCAAGACAGTGAGCTCCCAGCCCACAGCGCCCTTAAACACCCTCTAGCGGCCCAGGCACGCCTTCGCCACAGATGAAGAAGCCGTGGCGCACCGCATGCAAAGGGACTTGCCCGAATGCAGCAAGGAGCCCGCGCCACAGCCAGGAGTGTTTCACATTTTCTACGAGGGGACGACACACTCTCATACCAAGCAAGAGTTTCACGTGGTGCAAGAGGACCTCGCCCGTCCAGAGACATCGACGGCAAATTGAACTCAGAATCTGGAGTGGAGGCCGGGGCGTGGCATCTGGAATCCTGCCACCCCTAAGAAGTGAACCCAAATCTGCTCTTCAGTCCATGAAATGAAGCCGTGAGGGGTGGGATGGGGGCACTTGGCGGAAATCCCGGGTGAAGAGCCCATCCTCCGGGACCGGGACCTCATCCGAGGCCGGGGATCCGGGACTGGGCTCCCCCCAGGTGTGTGTTCAGCCGACTTGTGACGGGGAGGAACAAAAGTTTCCAGCGGGAGAAGACGGTCGCCACGAACAGGACCGCAGTGACTCACGACCGCGCGGGGTCTTCTGCAAGAGGATCCGGCCGCCGGCAGCCGGGGGCGGGGTCGCGGACGTGCGTGCCGGCGCGTGCGTGCGGGCTCCAGTGCGCGTGCGCGCGCTCTCTGGAGGGGCGGGGCCGCGGCTATAAGGGGCGAAGGCCGCGTGGCCCTGCCAGTGCCGCCGCGCGCGCAGTGCTCTTGTGTCTTGCCGACTTCGTGCGCGGAGCCGCTGCGCTTCTGATCATCAACCCATTTTCCTCCTGACTCTTACATGACCTGCTGCGTCCGCGGGCGAACCGCTCCCGACTCTCCCCTCCTCGAGGTGAGCAGCCCTGTGGGTTTTCCCGGCTCCCCGCCCCCATCCCCGAGCTGCATGGCGGGCCAGGTGCCTCGCTGGCCAAGGGAACCCGGGCTTGGACTGAGCCGCGGGGCCTCCCTCGGGTCTCACCCAGGGTTCCCATCAGCCGCCCAGCCTTTCTGTTGTCTCCGGAGGTGGCCTAGCTAGGATCCATGTGGCCTATCCCCTGCTTGCCAGGGCTGGGTGAGGCGTCCCTGCTGTGCTTCCCCCCCCCCCCAACTTCTGCATCTCCCTGTCCCAGCACTTAACCTGTGGTTAACCACACCTTGGGGCAGGGTTCCTGTCGCCAAGGTTTGCCATGTGGCGGTAGCACCAACCTAACCTAGTGCCTTGCCTAACATTTTGCAAATATTCAGGTACATGTGTTGAATAAGTGAACTTGATAGATTTGACCCTCAAAGAATTATTTTGGCTTTCAAGAAGTTTGCAATTAGTGGAATCTGACTGATGTGGGGGAGACTTCTAGGCAGGTTGCTTTCTCTAGGGCATATGCTCGTATTTCCTCTGTCCCCTACAAAAGGACTCGGCCTCTACTTTGGAGGTTCCTGGTGCCTGTACTGCAGCACAGGGATTGTGCGTTGAACCTGGCAGGGACAGAGTCCTCAAGAGAAGTAAACGTCTTAAGATGTGTTCTTGAATTCGTTCAAGAAGCAAGACCAGCTCCACAGCCATGGAGTCTGCAGTGTAAATGTGCTTGGAGATTCTGCTGAGGAAGAATGGCCGCTGGTCCCTATCTCCTTTGCTGGCTAAGCCTCTCCTTTAGCTCCATGGGAAGACAGAAGGGTCAGGGCTGGATGCATGCACCTCCCAAAAGGCTGCAGATTAATTCTCTTCTTTCTTACCTCAGGCTCCAGAGGGCCCCAGAAGCAGAAGACAGCCCTACTGCTCTGCAGGGAGTGGGGTCCTTTCAGCCATGAAACCTGTGTTGAACCTCTACCTCTTAGGCATGGTGCTCACCCTGCTCTCCATCTTCGTTAGACTGATGGAGTCCCTGGAGGGCTTACTGGAGAGCCCATTGCCTGGAAACTCCTGGGTCACCAGAAACCAGCTAGCCAACACAGAGTCTCCCAAGAGCCTTCCAGACCATCCATCCAGGGGAATGCAATAAGACCACCTTCTGTGCTGGCCTAACCATGTTCAGACAGTAGTCTTGTTTCCTAGCAGACAAGCTGAGCACCGGAGAACTGTTACTAGACTTTGAAGGACCCGACCCTGGGTTTATCTTGCCCTGGAAAAAGAGCCAGTTTAATGGCCAGGTGTGAATGGGTTGCCTGTGGCTTTGAGATATGGTGATCTCACCCAGAGTCCCTACCCTAAGGTCAGCTTTGCCATCCTCAGCGGTTTGGCTCTGACGCCTCTTGGATAGGGACTTGGGGTGTAACTTCAGCTGTTGGGAGCTGTTTTCAACCCCACTTCATAAACATCTGCCAAAGGTTCCTTAGGACTTGGGTGTCTTGGACTCAGTGTTTTTTTCTTTTCTTTTTTTTGAGTAGGAGTCTCGCTCTGTCGCCCAGGCTGGAATACAGTGGCATGCTCATGGCCACCGCAGCCTCAACCTGGGCTCAGGCGATCCTTCCACCTCAGCCTTCCAAGTAGCCAGAACTACAGGTTCATGCCATCACTCCTGGCTAATTTTTTTATTTATTGTAGAGACGAGGTCTCGCCAAGTTGCCCAGGCTGGTTTCGAACTCCAGGGCTCAGGCAATCCTCTCATCTCTGCCTCCCAAGGTGCTGAGATTATAGGTGTGAGCCACAGCGTCCGACTTTGGGCTCAGTTTGTTTGATGTGCTTCTTCTCTCCCAGGAGAGCTCCCCTGTGTAGAATACCAGTTGAAGATGTGTGGGTTGGCTGTGGGGAGGAGAGAATGGAGTATTTACTGCCCAGTTTTCCTTGTTTTCCTTTAGTTTTGGACTGGGTCTGGCTCTCTTGCCCAGGCTGGAGTGCAATGGCCTGATCCTAGCTCACTGCAGCCTCCACCCACTGAACTCAAGAGATCCTCCCACCTCAGCCTTCTGAAGCTGGGGCTACAGATGTATGCCTCTGTGCCTGCCTAATTTTTTAATTTTTTTTGTAGGGATGAAATCTTGCTATGTTGTTTAGTTTGGTCTCCGTCTCCTGGGCTCAAGTGATACTCTTGCCTCTGCCTTCCAAAGTGCTGGGATTATAGGTGTGAGCCACCATACCCAGTCTGTTCCTTCCTCCATTGTGTAGAGTGGTCTGAAAGGGGTATGGGATAACAAAGCCTGCTCAGGACAGGGGCATTTTGGCCACCATGTGGCTTAAATGAATTTTTCTAATGCAATAAAGTTGAATATACATTTCCACTATGTGTCATGTTGCCTTCTGCCTTTGAAATTAGTGGTAGTGGAGGGTTTTACTTTCTAGATCTGAGATTTAACATCTTAAAACTTTGGAGCAGGAACATTTAAAGTACTTTATTTGAAACAATGTCAATACACCTGTGAATTTGGGGCAGTGGCAATTAGGTCTGCCCTGTATAGCCAACTGTGTGAGTATAGGTTATGGCTACAACAGTCCTCGTGACTGTCCATCTGTAAAGAAGGAAGTAATCACTTCTAGCCCTTGCCCTTGAGTTTCTGGAAAAAGAGGACGATCATCCCAGAAGGTCTTGGCTTTTTTCTTCTGTGCTTTATTTGGGGGAGTGGGAGAGGACAGTCTCACTGGCGTACAGTGGTGCAATCATAGCTCACTGCAGCCTCAACTTCTGGGCTCAAAGGGTTTTCCCACCTCAGCCTCCCAGGTTGTTGGGACTACAGGTGTGTATCATTACACCTGGCTAATTTATTTTTGTGGAGATGAGGTCTGGCTGTGTTGCCCGGGCTAGCCTTGAACTCTTGGCCCCAAGTGATCCTCCTGCCCAGCGCCCAAAGTACTGGAATTACAGACACGAGCCACCGCACTTGGCCTCTTTTGTGCTCTTCAGTGTCCTTTGCTTATCCACCGAGATGATGCTTAATTCTTACTGCTTTCAAGGTAAGTTAGTAAAATGTCCACAACTCATGATTATTTCTGCTTTCCCAGGTCTGAGCAACTTGGCCTTTAATAAAAAATGACAAGTTTTTTTTTTTCTTGTATCCACCCTCTGTTCCCTGTCCCATGTACAGGCATATTCACTTCTCTGCCTGTGGCAATATATTTATTCATACTCCCGTCTGGGTGTTTGCATCATTTTATGAACTTGATTTACTTTTGCACAGGGAAAGAATGGGGGCACAGTGTCTTCTTTTAATCCTGTTTTGCTTCCTGAGTGTTTTTAAACTTCAAGTGCTCTGATTTAGGTAGCACTCTTAGGGCAGTCATCTGTGCTATTTACCAAGTATTTTCGGCTTCCCACCTGGCACTTGGGAAACTGGTCCGTTTGTGCTTGGCTGGGTTTATGTGACTCTTACTTTGTTAGCATTGTACTCCTTGATTTCAGGCAGTTTCACAGGCCAGTAGCTGCCCTTTTCTAGACACAATTCTTAACAGTTGATGTATTTTCTCGTTCTCATGCTTCTCTGGCCGATTTGGGGTGTTTCTGAACTTCCCGTCAGAGAGCCGCACCGTAAATCTCTTCCCCAAGTGGTTTGGTTTAATTGAAGCGGTCAACTGCCACAACCTCCGTGAGGCCTTTGCTCTAACATTTTAATCCACTTGAGGATTAAGTTGTTGGAGGTTTCAACAGCAGATATGATTGCCGTAGCATTGCTTTTATCCTTCCTATAGGTGAGGTAACCAACTGTCCCTGTTTGTTCAGAAGAGATTTTTCCTGGATGCAGGCCTTTCAGAGCTAAACCTGGGACAGTCCCGGGGGAACCAGGACGGGTGGTCCCCTACCTGCAAAGCTGAGTTGAATTGGCTTTTGTGGCTCCACAGTTGCTGGTTTTATCTATTACTGGTTAGGGTTGAGAAGCAGTTGTGGCTGATTTCTTTAGTCACCCTATATTTCCTGTGCCTGCCTGCAAGCTGGTTAGTTGTCTTCTGAGCTCATCTCTTGCGGTGCTTTGTTGATGGCAGCCAACAGTAGCCAATTCATGCTGTTCAAATTCTGTTCTCTGAGCCTCCAAGATACATGCACTTATTAGGTAAAGTCTCTCTTTTAAGTCATTACGGGCAGCAGTTCCACCAAATATTTTGCTGTATTTTTCATATTGAGGGTTGCCATCCTTTCAGCCCCCAATAAGGTCTTTTGCTGCCCTCTGTGTAAGTTAATGTCATGTACATTAGGTTTGGTTGGTTGTTTCTTAATATGCAACACCTCCCCTCCCAAATTGCAATTTTTATGTGAATCAAGGACACATTTTAGGGTGTGGTTTCCCACCTTCTGGCACATGGGAAGCTGGCCCATTTGTTCTTGGCTGGGTTTACGTAACTCTGATTTCAGGCAGTTTCATGGGCCTGTAGCTGTCCTTTTCTAGACACAATTCTTAGATTTGATGCATTTTCTCATTCTCATGCCTCTCTGGTTGATTTGGGGTGTTTCTGAACTTCCCATTGGAGAGCAACAAGTGGTTTAGTTTAATTGAAGTGGTTGACTCCGTGCCCCAACCTTAATAAGGCAGCAGGAACCCTAAAATCTCAGTAGCTTAGAACAACACTTGCCTGTAAGATTCCCTCCCAGGAAGCAGAATTGGGGCTGAAGTGGAGCATCCTCCCCTTCCCCAGGGCAAGAGACCCTCACCACATCTGCTCTGATGGATTTCATAATCACTCAGCTGCTGTGTCTCCCATTTGTGCCCCTGCCCCTGGCTGCATTCGGTCTGTCCCTGTTCCACTATTGTATGTTAGATGTCTGGGGCACATGGCTTGTCGTTTTAGTTTATGGATCTCCACCCCAAGCCACATCTGGAATTGAGGTAGGAACTCAGAGATTCTTAGATTTGAACTTGATATTGTAGCTAAATGGAATTGTTGGGGTGTTTCCTCTAGGGGAGGGGCAGCGAGTGTGTTCCATCTGCAGGAGAGGTAGTGAGCTGAATGATTATTGACTAGAAGGGTCATTCGTGGCAGTCATTGATGTTTTCCAAACATTTCTGTGTACACCTTGATAGAATTGCATATCCTTACCTCCCTGTGGTTGGATTGGGCCATGGAATCAGTCCTGGCCAATGAGTCATACATGAGTGGAAATGACTTGTGTTAATTCCAGGTGGGAACATTTCAGTGCAGGAGAAACCTGCAAGCCTCTCTTTTTCCCTTGGCATAGTGCCCAGCAATGCACTGAGAACTGTTTCATTAGTGTAGGGCCTGGGCTGAGGATACCACGGACCTGAGCCCTCAACTGAGCCCTAGTGAATGTGAAATAAAGCTCCGTTGTGTTAAGCTACTGAGGTTTGGGAAGTTTTGTGATTGCACCATAACATAGCTTGTTCTGACTGATCCAGGCAATAGGTTCATACCATACCTACTGGATGCCAGGTATCAGCCAAGACATCATCACCACCCACTTCAAATCATGCACACAAGATAGTAGGGGGAAAGCATGTGAGCAAGTGACATGTCAATGGTTTCATGACAGAAATATGTGTGTAGGACAATGCGTGCATAAAGCTCTGTGTAGACAGAAGGAAAACTTCTTAGAGGATCTGAAATTTGTAAGAGTAGGTTTGTGAGCCTGGTGGCCCAGTTAGGATAGGATAGGCCCAGGGGAAGGACAGTGTGAGCGAAGTCATGGAGATGAGTCTGTGCACAACACGTTTATAAATCACCAAGTACAAATGCTCAATCTCTAGGAATGATTAGTTTGAGGCCCCAGCTCTATTGCCATCTAGTGGACTCTCAGAAAGAAGGGAAGACTTCATATACTGTGTGCTGTATATTCATAATGCTTTATGAATTTGAAAGGTTGCGCAGGCAAAGCTTAAGATAGATGTCAGGATATTAAGGGCTGGAGGATATACTCTAGCCTAGCTCTGTCCAATACCAGGAAAACGCAAGCCACATGTAGAATTTTAAAATTCCAGGTGGCCACATTAAAAAGTAAAAAGAAACAGGATAAGGTTTTTTTAAAAAATGTATTTAACCCAATATATTCAAAGTATTATCATTTCAACATATAATTAACACAAAGCATTATTAATGATCACTTCTTAAGCAATTCAAATGTGGATATATGTGGGATTTTCTCTTTTTAAAAGGTAAC